CCTCTCTTGGCATTACATTCACCAAGTCATCCTCCATGCAATTGTATGGCTTCAATGATTTGGATTGGGTGATTTCCATGAAGATAGATAGTCTCATAGTGGTTTTGTGTGTTTCTTGGGAACATTCTTATCTCTTGGTCATCAAAGAAGCACTCTATCATCTCTCGGTCTAGCACCGAAGCTGAGTATCAATCTCTTGCCATTCATGCAGTTTTAAGGACTGCCGCTAGAATATCAATCTCTTGTTGGCAAACTGCTGCTAAAAGGTTCGTCACTAAAACGTTCTAGCGGTAGTTATAATGGCTGCCGGTATAAATGCTCAACTACCGCTAAAAAGGCTATAAGCGGTAGTCGCGACTTCCATTAATTCTAATTTGGCTACCACTAAAAGTATCCTTTTAGGGGCAGCCTTGAGCTTCACTGCGACGACAAGTATTTTTTTTTCAAATAACCAATTTTTTTCTAATTTTTTCAAACTACCTGTTTTCTTTATATTCATTTATACTTAAATAAAATACAAAAAAAAAAAAACATCAATTACAAGATAGTTTGATCAAGATCAGATTTCACCCCAAAAATTTTTCATTAATAAATATGAAAAAGAATTTATTGATTGATGTTTGTATTGGGGAGATTTTCTCCTTGGTCATGTACAAAAGTAAATTTATATATGAATTGGAGTGGAAAAGTAGATGCTTAATTTGCAAATTGATCGAGTTGAAGAGATTGGTTCAATGTCAATGTGCTTTCCCTGTAGGCTGCTTTGAAAACCAAAGATTTTAAGCTTGAATACTAGTCCTTTCTCCATTCAACGGCTTTGAAATATATTTTGCCTTCCCACTTCTCTGTAACCACTAACCAGCAATGTGATTTAATTTAGACTTGGGATCTGGCAATGTTGCAGCAAAGAATGTCAACTAAGTTGCAGATCTTTTAATTCGATCTCTTGATTGACCTCTTCAATTGACTTGAGGCTCCTGCATTCCTCTCCTCCCATGACCACTAGCCACTCAAACGAGAAGTAAGGTCGAGAAATTGATCTTCATTGTAAGGAATTGTTGTTAGACAATTCTACCCTTAGCTCCAATCAGATTGATGTACCTTTTGACATTTATTGTAAATGAATAAAGTGCATAATTGATTCATGTTTTTGTGGTGTGTTTTTGTGTAATACCCTTAAACTGGACATTTAAGAGACTCATGTTAGTTTAGAATCTTCACAGTCGTTGGATAGATCTGGGAAGATTTATCCTACCAAGGCTAACACTAATGTGCTGCCAAGTTGGTTGGTGTGGCTTATCTCAACTGCTAGGGTGAGACTTGAGGTACATGTAGTGTGGGTTTTCTTGAAACCCTGAACGGGACAAAAATTCCAATATTGCCTTGGATCTTGGAGATAGATGGGCAAAACTGGAATGTTACACCTGACCCCTAGATTTGATTATGGTACTGCATTGGGTGTCCAATTGGGCAGTCTTTTATATGCCAATCAGTGAGATCCTTAGAAGGGGTCAAAACCTGGGTATGTTGGAATAGTCCAAGAATTCATCTGAGTGGGTGATCATAGTGACAGGATCAGCCCCTTTGCCGGACAAAGTGAATGATCGGGGGTGCATTCTCTCTGATGAAAACCTAAACTACCGGTAGTTGATTTCAACCGTTGAAATTTGTTTTTGAACAATATATTTATATAAAAATATACATTTATACTATGGTTTCAAAATGTTTGTAAATGGTTTTAATTCCCGATATCCATGTGAGTAGAGAGTGCAGCACTATACCTTGAGCCGAGGGAGAGGTTCTCTCTTGTCGGGCAGTGTTTAATCATTATGGGCTGAGAGGTTAAGTATAGGACCATTGAGGGTAATACCTGATGGGCTAATCTTGCATCTGCCCACAGTTCATGGGTTTTCATAAGGTATCTGTACCCAAGGACCATTTAGTGTAAATGTTGGGCCCATTAAGAGCACATGGTGATGGACTTAGGGGTTCACTGTCTTCTATAGTGAATTCGGCTAGGCCTTATAACAAAGGCTAGGCTGAACCCATGTGGTTGATGTGTAAATCAATGTTTGCATCCCACGCCATACAAGGAGAACCAACTGTGCAGTAGGTTAAGAGGTTAAGTGAGCATATAAACTTAATGATCCTAAAGCCTAATTCGAACTGGGTTAATAAGATTAATTAAATAGGGGTAGATCTGAGATTCGAATCAGCAAATAAGATAAGGGATTATCCTTATCCACTTAAAGAGCCCAAATCCAAATAAAGATTTGGATCAAAGAAACTCCTAATTTGATTCAGAAGGCTGATCTTTATCTGCAGATAAGATATGGGATTATCCTTATCTCATAAAAAGAGTTCAGATCCAAATAAAAGATTTGGATTAGGAAACTCCTAATGGGATTGGGTGATTCTCTCTTTAATGCTATAAATAGGAGAGCAGGGTGGACCTCTAGAGACACATTCACAGTTCGCTGAATATAGAGAGAAGACTTCACAGTTTAACTACTTTTGTCTTCTACTCTTTTCTCCCCTGCTCTTGCCGCCCCTACCCAATTTGATCTCCACCTGTGGTAGTGATCAAGAATCGTTCTTGATATTGATTCTTGCTAGAAGAAGCAATTTGAAATTGTGCTCACCAGCCCTCCACTACATTTTTGTTGAAGAATTGGGTTCTTGCTGAAAATTTTGGTTCTTGTTGAAGAGTCATCCTGCTGATTCTATTTCACCTCACACTGTGTCATTTTCAGTAGGAGCAGCTTTTGGTTTTCTCCTTGGGCATGAACACCTTCATTGGAAGTTACTGTTACTCCGTATCAAGTATATCCCTCTCCCTTTTGGATTCAGATATGGTCCAGTTTGGTTCAAGATTGATCATTGAAAAGACAATTTCCGAAAATAGGGAATGCGATTCATATATGGGAGAGAGAAATTCTTGAAATTTCGCCCAACTTTCCTGCAGGGTTTGGTCATCCATATGATGGATCTCTCTTCCCTACAATTATAAGACCACCCATGGGATGCTTGAACCCAAATTCTTCCTCTGCCTCTTCTTATCATATCCTTGCATAGCTGGGAGCATAAATGCTACTGCATATACAGGGGATTTATTTTTTGACAAGTCCAGTTGGCTTTCTTGTATCTTTGTTGATCGTATGCTCCATCTTCATGACTTCCCCACTTTGATCTGATTTGGTTTCAAGGGAAGATCTCTCTCATAGCGATATGACCAACTTAAAGGTCCTGTGTCTGAGACCTCTTTCCAGGAACCTGCTCTACGAGGTCCTCTATTACTAGGCAAAAACCATGACTGGCTCTCTAACATTGATGATATAAGTATCTTCTTATTTCGTTCTGATCTGATGATTTTAGCATCTGCAAGCTCCTCAGCTGCATCAGTCATTACATCAAGTATCAGCATACGTTGACTAAAATCCACATTAGGAGAGTATAATAGTTTGTTGAGGACATCCATAGATTCAAATGGACATGTGACAAGCAATGCAACATCGAGTGTTCTTTCCACCTGATAGAATAAGAAACAGATAAATAATCAGGAAGGATTCCTTTATCACCTAGTCAAATTAGTCCTGTCATAATAGTCCAGATTAATCATTTGATAAGAGAAAACCAAAGAGAAAAGAGAAGAAATGAGAGCAAAAAATTTCAATGGGTGGAGAAAAGCTGTCTATTCTACCAATTCGCCTAGTGGTAAACGGTAATGCTGTCAATGGACTCCATAATCACAAAACTAATCTGGCATCTAATCCATTTATGTAATTGGATTGAATGTGGATTCAACCCCATCTGATCCGATTAAAATCTGAGGCCAATTCTTCATCATCACCACCGAAGCCTTGTTCCAACTATATAGGGTGAACTACATGAATCCTATTTCACCATTTCATTCTGTTTAATGATATATTCATTATTAAACTACGAGTAATTAAATCATTTCTTACTACTTAAACCCATTTTCTTCTTGGTCTGTCCCTAGCCCTTCTGACCCCTTCAACTTGCAATAGGTGGCTTCTTCATATGGGTGTTGTAGGAGCTCTTCCATGCACATGACCAAACCATCAAAGTATACTTTCTATCATTTTATTTCCTATTGGAGCTACTCTAGGGTTTTTTTTTTTTTTGATCAGCATCTACTCTAGGATTCCTTTCTAGTTTTATGATACACACATAATTATGTGGGGGCCATTACTTGGAGTGATGGTAAAATTTCAGGCTGTCAAACATGAGAATGTGGGTTTGAGTTTGAGAGCAGCCACTTTGTGGGACCATATCCAATCTAACCCTCCCAAGACCCTAGATAGCTGGGACCAATATTGGGCAATGGCCCTTACATACGTATTATGTATATGCATAGATAATAAATAATCATATAAAATTTATAACCAATGAATTTAATAGTTCATATTTATATAAATTTATTATATATGTATATAAAAACTAAAAATAATTAACTTTTTTTAATTTTTTCTTTATTTTAAAGACAATAAAGTGGACTCAGATTAAAATCTGATCAACATCCCTAGATCTGATTGGATTTTGGATAAGATTTGGATGTGGCTAGATCGGATCTCAATCTGACCTGATCACAACCGTAGTCAGCTAATATATAAACTCTTCTTATCACATGGCAAAAGTACTGTTCCCCCCCCCCTTAAATTATATAATAAAACAAACCACACATTACCCACACTTAAATACAGGTAAAGACTAAAATATCCTGCAGTTGTCACCCTTACATCAAAGGCTTCTAACAAGTCCCAAATCCAAGATATCCCTATTCTTTAATAGGCAGACAAGGGCAGGGTGCATTGCATCATGGATATAGCCATATAGGTACACATTTTAGGATAACCAAGCAGGGGCTACATTTGGTGGACCTTTGGACCAAAAAGACCACCATGTTAAAAACAAAAAACCCGCTATTTTGTGCCTAATATTCTATCTTCTTTTCCATTAATTGCGTACCCATCTGATTTTCCCCTTACAATCATCAGATAATGGATGGGATGGTTAAGATCACATGATTTGATCAATTTCCACCTTTAACATACCCATGCTGGTCACATAAAGTGATGGATTTCATCAACACAATGTACTCGTGTTGTATTGATAAATCATCTTTGCTGTCTTTCCAACACAGATTAGGATTCATTTATAGAAAAATCACTCTGAGAAAGTAGACAACTCAAGAAACTAACAACTTGCACCATCTCGGTCATCAGGTTTCCGTAATGCTCCAATTAGAAACCAGCTGTGAGAATTTTCTTTTTAAGTCTGCATCATCATCTGTCAAATCATATGGTTGCAAAGATGAGTCGCTTAAGGATTCAGAGTTCACACTTGCATCATCATCATCTTCTTTGTCTTCTTCATCAGATATAGTCATATTATTTAGCATTGATGGATCAATAATCTCATCTGGATCAATCATCTTTAACTCAGATAACTTCTTATTTTTACGCTTCGTTTTGGTATTTATTCTGGCATCAGCATTGTCTACTTCCTTGTTTGACCCAGTAATAGAAGATATTTTCACATCACCATGAATCTCTTTTTTTCCATTCAAACTGGATGAAATCCCCTTGGATTGGGTAGAAAACCCAAATTCCCAGTCAATAGTTTCTCCATTGAAACTATCATCAAGGTATAGAGGATTTTTTGGGTCAACCACTTTAGAGAACACCAATGCAACAGAGCTAGCCATTCTCCTTACTAAATGCATAGGACTCTCCAGCCTACCTGCCAGAAGTTAGGATAAGATAATGAGTAAAACAACATCTGCTCAGGCGGTAAAATACTGTACCAGATACAGAAAGAAAAGAACCCTACAGCTTACTGAACCTTTCCTCAAGGAGCAACAAAATTTGGAAAGCATGAAATGTTATGAAAAATAAAGCATAGTCTCAAATATCATTAGCTCGTGAAACTATTTTACAGATGAATAGAGATTACATTTGTTGTCAGATATAATACGATCTCTCATGAGAAATCAAAAGTTATATTATTCATTTTCCATGCTAGATATGTCTCTGAAGAAAACAACACATTGGAAGAAAAGAATGGGAAAGGATACGGGTTTGCTGCTCTATTGGAGCTGATTGAACAAACTCGCGTTTTGACCATACTCCAACCAAACTCCATTGGGTCAACAGGAATTATTCTTCTGGATGTGGATCTTCTGGAATAGAGCAGTTGTATATGTTACTGCCTATTTTGGGAACTCAGTTCTTTTCATTTTAGTATCAATTAGAGGTATCCATCCTGTGTTTTTATTTTAAATATATGTATTTATTGATGTTCTAGAGGAACACCACAAATGCCTCATGATCCAGAATGAGGAACAGCTGGGTTTACAAAATATGAACTACATTTTCTGGGATTTAAGCAGGAAAGAAGTACCTGAAAGAACATCTACTCCTCCAGCCATTGCTTAATGGGCATGACTTTGTCATTATCATCTTTCCACTCGTTAGCCACCACAGCTGCAACTCGATTAGCTGAAACTTTAATTCTTGCTAGTTCCCTCTCTAGTGTCCTTTTCTCCTCCTGGAAAATCATAGGACAAGGGAGTAGCTCAACTCAGAATTTTGCACCCAAACAAAAGCTTCAAATATCACTGACCTATAAGCACTTACTAAACTAAAGTAGTTAAAGTACCACTCACTAACAGGCTGGCTCTTACATTTAATTCAGAAAGCCTGAAAGTGAAGTCAACCCAGGACTCCGGGAGTCAGGTAGTGGACTCAGGAAGTCATGTCCCAAATGCCATTTAATTGATAAATATGTGGAAAAATTTAAAAAGCATAAAATATAAATTTGAAAATGAATCACTATCACTTTTCTTTTGTTAAATTTAAGCAATATCTTGATTATCCCAAGAAAATTCAAATCATTAACCTCTGTTAGTATATAAAAATATCATTCAATGGACAAGGCTATCACCAAGCAAGATTTGGGAATCAAATCCATCAATTCTTTTCTATTGACTTCACCATTAAAAAAGCCTAGAAAGACTAAAGATTTTAGGGATTTTTAGATTGTACTCCACCTCAGAATTCTGATTTAAACTATACACCTACAACAATTCAAATTTAGAAACACCTCCACCTATAACATTCATACGAGCTGGCATCTATCTCCAACTGTACGGTGGAGCTAGGATTTCTGAGGTTGACTGAACAGTAAAAACCCCAAGATTTTATGAAATAGTTAGCTAATAAAACCATCTCACAAACAGGGGTAAAGGATTGTTAGGGGGAATGGGTTATGCTAAACCTATCTCCAGTTTTTTACATGCACACATGAGAGAGAGAGAGAGAGGGAGAGAGAGAGGCACCAGAACGTTGGTACTTGGTAAGTATCCCTGTTCTAATAAGGGTACTAAAATAGAGGGAGGTCATCTGCTATGGAAAGCAGAAACCAAGGACCAGGTTCAATAATTGAAAGTTGAAACCAACTCAATTTTCTGGTACAGATTACGTGGGGCTTTGTGAGAAGAAGTCTATGAGCACTTTAACTATGTAGATTTCATAATATCAAGCTAAGCATATAGTATATAAGATTAGACATTTATTCCCAACTATTAAAAATATCACAATAAAATGTTTAGCAGTATAACCACATAATTAGTGGATCATCTAAAAATGAGGAGAAAGAGAGACACACACAGGTGCTAAGAATTCAGATATGGAGTCTTTTGATATTAGGGCTATTTCAGTTATTTTACATAGTAATGTGGATTTCAGCCTATTAGTTGGAACTTTATGCATTATTGTATTGGTCTCTCTCAGTTTGAACTTTATCTATTATTATATTAGTTTAATTGTACCCAAAATTTCAAAGCCATTGATTAAGTAATTAGAAACTTGACTCTTTGATGTGATTGCTTGAATATGCACATTTTATCTTAACAGAAGGTGTTTGGGAAGTAATGTATGATGGCATTTCTTCTGATGCTCAACTTAACTAAATAAAACCTAATCCCAACCATATGGGGTTAGCGACATTGATCCTGTTTTACCATCACACTTTTTCTAGGGCCATATCTGTTGTTAAATTGTCAGCCCTGAAATCATTTCTTACAACCTCAACCCATGTTCTTTGGGCATGCCTCTATCTCTTTTAGACCCTTCGTCCTGCATAAAATTCTTTCTGCTTTGGTTGATATGGACATAAATTAATAGGGCCGACAATGGGTCCTTGGCCTAGGATACAATGATTTGTTGTTCCTGCCAGGATCTGAAGGAACATAAAGCAATAGTGTCTGTAACAGAGTTAACTTTATTAGGTCACCTTAACAACATAAATAAAAAGTGAAATGAACCTTTGTTTTGAAATCATGAAATCTCTTTGTGCAAGTGCCTTTGCCTTTTCTTACTTTGAAATCTCTTACTTCTTTCAGTTCCATGGCGTAGTAACTTTCATGTTGGTTCCAAGCACAGATGAAAGAAGATGAGCCTTTAAACTTTGTGCTTATAGATGGTACATGGAGCAACTCAGCTGCAATGTTCAGCCGTTCGAAGGTACGATATAAACACTCCTACTAGTGTATTAAAAGGCAAAGGCATTAGAACCAACATCAAGAATAAAACTGGATGCATCATTTCCTCATATATCAATTATCATAATAAACATTTTATTCCAATGGGATAAGCTAAAAAGGCATAGAGAAAGCTTGAAGAAGTTACTGAAATATTCTATTACATATATTTCTTTGTACATGCTTGAAGAAATGCATCAAGGCGATGCATTTCTTCCTTGTTTTCCAATGTAAATATTTATTTAAAAAGGACATTGTAGAAAATTTTGAAGAATTATAAACAAATTTACATTTGTTTGAATAAAGTTACATTACCTTTTACAAAAGAAAATATAAATTATAAACAAATTGCTGTGGAAAAGCCATAGAAAACCATATAGCAGATCAGTAACTCTTCAGCTTCAAGGCCTTGAAATAAGGTAAAACGCAGTCTAAAAGAGTCAAACTTTTTGTTTTTATTCATGACAATTCAAGTAATTCAAACAAGTAAGAAAAAGAGAGGAAAAATTTGAATAGAAAATACTCACGAAAAGAAAGAAAAACTCTTCACTGAAATACTTAGCCCCCAAACTGCAATATGGATGGTATTGATAAAAAAAAAAAAAAAAAAAACTGCAATAAGGATGAGTCCCAATGTGCTCCTTCCTAGCTAACAGACCATCAGCTAGCTGATTGGCTGATCTCAAGATCAAGCAGAATGAGGTGTTCCCACCAGCCAATTGTACTCCTCAACCAACTTGCAA